TTACAAGAGAGCGCGAGGCGTGCCCCTGCAGTCGCGCTGATATTCAAATCGAAGCTCGCGACGCGACGACGACGATAAATTAGCGTAGGCGTCGGCTAGACGTCGACGACGGGCATCGAGCTTTTTTTTTATTCCACTGCTGCACAACTCCTGTATAATAAACGTACACGTAAACGCCAGCTCCCTTCGGCCCCCCCTCCCCCTCTATTTTCCTGTCGCCAGCGATACTATTTTGAGATTATACACGCACGCGGTGCAGTGTACCTACACGTGACGCTGCAGTCCTCCTCCTACGCATTTTGCCGTCCGGTCGTTCTTGTATTTCAAGGGAACGCTTGACCAGTCGTCGTCTATGTGCATATAGACACGCACTTATACGCGCTACAAAATGATACCACCTTCATAGGAACACTCCTTTCGTTCGAGGGCTGATCCGTGCCGAGATAGTGGAGAACAACGATTTATTTATTTGTCACATTATTTCAAAAAACGCGACTGTACAAACAACATCAGGAGCACACGGTGTGGCATAGGCGCTTTCTCACATCACGTGATTGAATTTTTTTTTTTTTTTTTTTTTTTTCACTTACAAATTGTAGACGCAAGTTGCTCAAATTGTGCGCAAAAGCTTGAAACGTATAGATACAATGTTGTATATTAAAATCAAGCTTCTCGCACATATTTCACGGCTCACCATGAGGATTATATTCGTTAAAGAACAAGTTGAGCAGAGGAGCTGAAAAAAAAAAAAAAAAAAAAAATTGTATCGCAGTTTTGAACAATTAATGTTTTTTTGCCCTCAATCGATTAAAATTAACGAGAGGCGCTCGTACAATTCCAATGTTGTGATAAATGAATACGGGCTATCTGTTAATACACAACGGGTACGTACGTACGTGTGCGCGTATGTTCCGAAGCAACTCTTGGACGTCCAAGTTCAAGAAAACTGGATTTCAAATTTGATAGAGTTGAAAAATGTTTTGTGAAAAAAAAAAATGAAAATTTTAATTTATGGTGAATTGATGCGCGAGGTTCCCTCACTTTTTACGACCATGCTTCTTTTGTGAGTATCTTACTCCCCGAATGATTGAGATGAATAATTAATTGCGCAAAAAGCAGTGGGCCCAAGTTATCACTCCGCGCACTGGATCGTGAAAATTTACTTTGAGTGTGTGCGGCGATTTGTATTTCAGTGTTGTTAACCAAATTCTCATGCGAGAATCACTAACTTTACGTATTCGTTAATTCACGAAATATGTTTTTCAATTTTTAATAAAAAGAAGAAAAAAATTGTGTGATTAACGATAAATTACTTTGCAAACGTTACTATTTTTTTTTATCTTAATTGATGAAAAAAAATTTTAATCTTTACACAATAATAAATATAATAACGTAATAAGTAAAAATGATGTAAAGCAAATTTCAGTAAAAAATAATACTTTAAGCTTTTATGGAAGTTTATTGGAGCAATGTAATATCTGCCAAGCAATTTAACTTGAATAGATGTTTGGGAAGTTGATACAATTGTATGCAATACTTATTAAGTGAATTTTATTTTAGAACTTGATTATTCTAAAGGAGTAGCTAAATTTAATTGGATAAGCTACTACGTCTTCGCACGAAAGGTACAACTCTGCTACATCACCATCAAAGCACTAAACGAATGATACCTAATTATTGGGATACTTATTACAATTTTCTAAATAATTTTATGGCATTTATTTAAAATGAGAATAAAAATTTTTTTTTTCTTGACCATAGATGAGATTTTTTTAATTATCGGAAAAAAAAATTTTCATGAAAAAAAGCTAGATATGCAATTTATTAGTGTCAGTGTGAATCAAATTTTATAGGACTTAATTTATTTTTTAGTAAGATACTCCCATTAACTGGTATTCTTTAATAATTAATTTTTACGCTTCGTCAATTTCAACGACTAAACACACAGAAATTGTCATACATTAATCGTTTAGAATATCACGTAATATATATATATAGCAATTAAAT